ACAGTGACGCGGCAGATACAGACCCAGTTTCAAACGATTGGTCGACAAGTTTTGCAGGTGATTGGCCAGCTGTATGACACGCGTGGACAGGGAGACCGAGCAGCTTGTTGGCATAATTTTGGTGTCTTCGTACCATGTGTGACTTTGATGTGTGGTATGACAATGTAGGGTTGGGCTTTGTGTGTTTGCTGCAGGAGGCATTGCGTAGTTGCTTTGAAAGCACAGTACTTCCGGCTTTCGAGCGGACATGCAGAACCATGCTCGACCATGTGGAGTCGTCGTTCCAGCATGGCATGTCGGAGTATACTCAGCATGCTCAGGAGCAACTTCTGTCGTCTCACTCTGATCTTGCTTCCACGTTGAAGGTTTGTCCGAGTCTTCCTTGACGCTGAAAGGGTTTATTCCATTTCAAATTTGGGCAACCGTGAGAATCGCAGTTTCAGAACGAGTTGCAAGTAGCGCAATGAAGGATCGGGGGCTTATGAGTGGCCTTGATTTGACGTTCTGTGCAGGACACCGTGGCATCGGCAACCGTGCTTGCGGACTCGTTGAAGGGCGAATTAGCAGAGGGTCAGAAGAAACTTATGGCACTTGCAGAGAGCGCGAGTGCAAATGCAGCTCGCGCTCTGCCTGCTAACAACCAGATCAATGGCGGCCTTCCTGACAAGGTCCGCATCCATGTACGAACTGAAGTCACGAGGGATAAGACTTGATTGGTGGAGTCCGGGTGTCGTGTTTGGGAGGAAACTTCGTTTTGACACGTTTGGTTTTTCTTACAGGTGCTTTCGTTGCAGCATCTGGAGGAGTCGCTGGATCCTACAATCGAGCTTTCAAGACTTTTGAAGGAGAACAAGCTCGAAGAGGCGTTCAACAAGGCTCTGTCTTTGAGCGACGTAGCAGTCGTGTCGTGGCTTTGCATGCAGGTATGACTTCAATTTTGGTGCAGCGTTTTGGTGATGCATGCGAAAGAGATGAGGTGCTGAGCGGTGTGGAGCCATCTAGTTGGTATGTAGTTGGCACGGTGCAAGGGTGAGGGTGAGAACACATATAATGCGTGTTGTGAGACTGACGTGTGTGTACTCTGGACAATTGTGGCAGTTGGACGAGGATCATCTTTTCAGAAAAGTGCCACTACCTCTGAGTCAAGGAGTGCTGCTGTCGTTAGTACAGCAGCTGGGCTGCGATCTGGGCAAAGATACAGACCGGAAGTTATCTTGGATCCGGGAGGCGGCACTGGCACTGAACCCGGAGGACCCGTTGTTGGCTCCACACATGCGACCCTTTTTACAACAGCTGTACCAGAGCTTGCACCGGCAATTGTCGCTGAGTTCGGTTCCAGGAGAGCAGGTGAATTTGAGACTTGTCATGCACGTGGTTCACTCGTTGTTAACATCTTGCAAGCAATGAGGTAGATGCGGGCACACACCTGCCAGCTGAAGTGAGGGATCATGGTTGAACCCAGTAGGGAGAGATCCACCGGGGCCAAGTGGAAAGATGAAGGACTAGACACCCACGCATTCGGAGCTTTCTGGTCGATTTAGTGATGGTTCCAAATTTTTGATTGCGAGGGTTTTTGATTATCGTTGGAGTGGTTGTGTTTGAAAGCGTTGGTGGTGGTGGAGGTAGAGGTTACGTGGAAGATGTGGAATGCTAGTCACTACATTGGTTTCTGATGGTTAAACCTTGGAAACTAATTCCAAATTCTTGGCCAGAGGGGTGACAATGTCGAAATTTGTACAAACACATGGGTTGCATTTTGGACAATCTAAGCTACATGGTTGTATGTGGTCTGAAATTTGTTTTCGCCTCCTCAAGTGATGCATTTTTATATCTGATAGGTGGTGTGGCAAGTTTGCATTTGTATGGCTGCTAATTACGTTGAGGGTGTAAAATTGGATAGTTTTATGGGTTTGACAAATGTCATGCCAACGTAGGTACAACATTTGTACTTTTTCGATCCTGTAAAGTGTTTTCTTGCAGAACTTTGTAGTGTGAGCATGACTGAACGTCTGCTTTGTATCCCAACCACCTATTGATGTCAAATTTTGGTTCACAAAAATATTTTAAACATTTCGATAGCACGTAAAAAAGGGCGTTGCTATTCGGTTATGCTTGTGCCTGCATTTTATACATGTTTGTATTGCCGATTCAGTTTGGCACATGTGATTCCTTGCTAGTACTTTTGCAATTCAGGCACTGTTTCAAACAGCAGTTTCTGAAACTTCATGTGTGTTGTAGGTGTGTCCACAATTGGTTCTAGAGGTACATTTGATGCATATTAGATTGTGGGATGATTTTATAACCCCAAATCCAGAATTTAAATGAAATTATGACAAAGTTTCATTTGTATTTTTTGACAAATGCTTTGTGGGTGTTGCAATTACAACAAATTCAATAAGAGTTCTTAAAAAAAGCTATTTCGTTTTAATCAGGTAATTTAAAATCCATGTAGTACTATGGAAATTGGATTAAATAATAAAGTTTTGGAATCAAATTTTTTTGTATTGGTTATTATTATGATTATCCAATCTATATATATGTATATATTTTTGCTCTTTACATCTATTTTGTTTTGAATGTATGGTTTTAATTTGTTTTGTTTTGAAATATTGTAATTAATGTCTTTTTTTAATTAAAAATTTTAAACTAATGACTAGCTTATATTAGTTTTTATTTTATTTTATTTTGTGCATATTAATGACATTTGTGGTATCATGAAATTTTATTTGATTTTTATGATAATAAAAAATCTTTCAAAATAAGTAAGTAGAGGTTGAACAAAGCATTTTGTTGCTCAAATGAAGAGGGTCTTAGTTTTTGGATATGATAGAATGATCTATTTTTATTATATATGTTAATATCTGAGTCTTATTTGATGAATGATACCTCTTAGGATTAAAAGTGAATTAATTTATAAGACTATAGAGAAATTTAATGTTTTCATCTCTAAAATACTTAGGCATAGTTTTTGAAGCAATTCTAGAAAGTTTTATACAACCTTCTACTTTTTATTTTGGTTGATTCAAATGAAGATATTCTTAATTGACTAATGAATTTTCATTATAATAAAGTATTTTTAATTATAAATCAACTCATAAAAATTGATTGTGATTAATTTTTTAAATAAGAACTATGCATGTTTTTTCATTCTTTTGTATTAAATGCAACATTCAAAAATAATTGTAAGAAGACTATCAATTTTAAGAATATATAAACCTATTCCATTGTAAAATTTTAGAGATTAAGTTTCTTTTTGTATTATTTGAATTCAAGGTCTTGGAAGATTGTAGTTCAGATAGATCTAAAAATTTGTATCATTTGAGTATAATTCAATTTTTACTTGGCTTTTTTTTTTTCTTTCTTTCTTTCAATGATAGAGGTTAATTGGATTTATGAAATACATATTTGATTCTTTAGAATCTTTTGGTATAGAGCAAGATATTACTAATTTTAGAAATATAACTATTTAAAAAATTATTAAATTCTATTATATAGATCTATGTTAAAATAAATAGTATAAGTCTTTGGTATAAATAGTATAGGCCTGTGAGAGAAGCCAACAGTAAAGTTTATAGTCTATACCAAGAAGTTATGCAATTGAGAATAATTAGTAGATCAACTTCATAATTGAATTTGAAAAGTCGTGCTACCACAAGTATGAGTGAGGCAAGGATTAATATGCCAAAAAAGTTAGATGGAATTAGATTAAAATTTTAAAAATTTATACAATAAGTCAAATTTTATCAAAGGTTCTATCCTTCTCAATACCATAATGGATTTACTTAAGTTAGATTTATAGTTGCATTTTTTTTTGGAATTTAGAATTTTAAGTAGACAATTTATGAATAGAGTATAAACACATATAAAGTCAAATCTACAACTATGAAGCTTTTAAGAAGCTAATCTACAAGATATTATCAATTTTTTTTTTTTTTTATAATAAATAACAAAGAATTTGATGTACTTTTCTGAATTAAGAGTATTCAAGAATTTAACATTATTTGTGATTTTGAAATAAATTGGTCAAAATTAGTCTAAATTGGTTGCATATTAGTAATATAAGAAAATAATAAGCCTTGCATAGACTTAATGACTTGGATGGACATAAGCATCTTCTAACATGCTAAATAAAATCTTAATCAATGAATTCTAATTAAAAATTGAGAACTAGTGCTCTACAAGTTTTAATTTGGTAAAGAAAGTTGTTATTGGCAATACCATCCTACTTTAATCCTATATTTCAATTCTTTAAAAATGTTGTATATTGATAATATCTTGTAGAGTAGCTTCTTAAAAGCTTCATAGTTGTAGATTTGACTTTATATGTGTTTATACTCTATTCATAAATTGTCTACTTAAAATTCTAAATTCCAAAAAAAAATGCAACTATAAATCTAACTTAAGTAAATCCATTATGGTATTGAGAAGGATAGAACCTTTGATAAAATTTGACTTATTGTATAAATTTTTAAAATTTTAATCTAATTCCATCTAACTTTTTTGGCATATTAATCCTTGCCTCACTCATACTTGTGGTAGCACGACTTTTCAAATTCAATTATGAAGTTGATCTACTAATTATTCTCAATTGCATAACTTCTTGGTATAGACTATAAACTTTACTGTTGGCTTCTCTCACAGGCCTATACTATTTATACCAAAGACTTATACTATTTATTTTAACATAGATCTATATAATAGAATTTAATAATTTTTTAAATAGTTATATTTCTAAAATTAGTAATATCTTGCTCTATACCAAAAGATTCTAAAGAATCAAATATGTATTTCATAAATCCAATTAACCTCTATCATTGAAAGAAAGAAAGAAAAAAAAAAAGCCAAGTAAAAATTGAATTATACTCAAATGATACAAATTTTTAGATCTATCTGAACTACAATCTTCCAAGACCTTGAATTCAAATAATACAAAAAGAAACTTAATCTCTAAAATTTTACAATGGAATAGGTTTATATATTCTTAAAATTGATAGTCTTCTTACAATTATTTTTGAATGTTGCATTTAATACAAAAGAATGAAAAAACATGCATAGTTCTTATTTAAAAAATTAATCACAATCAATTTTTATGAGTTGATTTATAATTAAAAATACTTTATTATAATGAAAATTCATTAGTCAATTAAGAATATCTTCATTTGAATCAACCAAAATAAAAAGTAGAAGGTTGTATAAAACTTTCTAGAATTGCTTCAAAAACTATGCCTAAGTATTTTAGAGATGAAAACATTAAATTTCTCTATAGTCTTATAAATTAATTCACTTTTAATCCTAAGAGGTATCATTCATCAAATAAGACTCAGATATTAACATATATAATAAAAATAGATCATTCTATCATATCCAAAAACTAAGACCCTCTTCATTTGAGCAACAAAATGCTTTGTTCAACCTCTACTTACTTATTTTGAAAGATTTTTTATTATCATAAAAATCAAATAAAATTTCATGATACCACAAATGTCATTAATATGCACAAAATAAAATAAAATAAAAACTAATATAAGCTAGTCATTAGTTTAAAATTTTTAATTAAAAAAAGACATTAATTACAATATTTCAAAACAAAACAAATTAAAACCATACATTCAAAACAAAATAGATGTAAAGAGCAAAAATATATACATATATATAGATTGGATAATCATAATAATAACCAATACAAAAAAATTTGATTCCAAAACTTTATTATTTAATCCAATTTCCATAGTACTACATGGATTTTAAATTACCTGATTAAAACGAAATAGCTTTTTTTAAGAACTCTTATTGAATTTGTTGTAATTGCAACACCCACAAAGCATTTGTCAAAAAATACAAATGAAACTTTGTCATAATTTCATTTAAATTCTGGATTTGGGGTTATAAAATCATCCCACAATCTAATATGCATCAAATGTACCTCTAGAACCAATTGTGGACACACCTACAACACACATGAAGTTTCAGAAACTGCTGTTTGAAACAGTGCCTGAATTGCAAAAGTACTAGCAAGGAATCACATGTGCCAAACTGAATCGGCAATACAAACATGTATAAAATGCAGGCACAAGCATAACCGAATAGCAACGCCCTTTTTTACGTGCTATCGAAATGTTTAAAATATTTTTGTGAACCAAAATTTGACATCAATAGGTGGTTGGGATACAAAGCAGACGTTCAGTCATGCTCACACTACAAAGTTCTGCAAGAAAACACTTTACAGGATCGAAAAAGTACAAATGTTGTACCTACGTTGGCATGACATTTGTCAAACCCATAAAACTATCCAATTTTACACCCTCAACGTAATTAGCAGCCATACAAATGCAAACTTGCCACACCACCTATCAGATATAAAAATGCATCACTTGAGGAGGCGAAAACAAATTTCAGACCACATACAACCATGTAGCTTAGATTGTCCAAAATGCAACCCATGTGTTTGTACAAATTTCGACATTGTCACCCCTCTGGCCAAGAATTTGGAATTAGTTTCCAAGGTTTAACCATCAGAAACCAATGTAGTGACTAGCATTCCACATCTTCCACGTAACCTCTACCTCCACCACCACCAACGCTTTCAAACACAACCACTCCAACGATAATCAAAAACCCTCGCAATCAAAAATTTGGAACCATCACTAAATCGACCAGAAAGCTCCGAATGCGTGGGTGTCTAGTCCTTCATCTTTCCACTTGGCCCCGGTGGATCTCTCCCTACTGGGTTCAACCATGATCCCTCACTTCAGCTGGCAGGTGTGTGCCCGCATCTACCTCATTGCTTGCAAGATGTTAACAACGAGTGAACCACGTGCATGACAAGTCTCAAATTCACCTGCTCTCCTGGAACCGAACTCAGCGACAATTGCCGGTGCAAGCTCTGGTACAGCTGTTGTAAAAAGGGTCGCATGTGTGGAGCCAACAACGGGTCCTCCGGGTTCAGTGCCAGTGCCGCCTCCCGGATCCAAGATAACTTCCGGTCTGTATCTTTGCCCAGATCGCAGCCCAGCTGCTGTACTAACGACAGCAGCACTCCTTGACTCAGAGGTAGTGGCACTTTTCTGAAAAGATGATCCTCGTCCAACTGCCACAATTGTCCAGAGTACACACACGTCAGTCTCACAACACGCATTATATGTGTTCTCACCCTCACCCTTGCACCGTGCCAACTACATACCAACTAGATGGCTCCACACCGCTCAGCACCTCATCTCTTTCGCATGCATCACCAAAACGCTGCACCAAAATTGAAGTCATACCTGCATGCAAAGCCACGACACGACTGCTACGTCGCTCAAAGACAGAGCCTTGTTGAACGCCTCTTCGAGCTTGTTCTCCTTCAAAAGTCTTGAAAGCTCGATTGTAGGATCCAGCGACTCCTCCAGATGCTGCAACGAAAGCACCTGTAAGAAAAACCAAACGTGTCAAAACGAAGTTTCCTCCCAAACACGACACCCGGACTCCACCAATCAAGTCTTATCCCTCGTGACTTCAGTTCGTACATGGATGCGGACCTTGTCAGGAAGGCCGCCATTGATCTGGTTGTTAGCAGGCAGAGCGCGAGCTGCATTTGCACTCGCGCTCTCTGCAAGTGCCATAAGTTTCTTCTGACCCTCTGCTAATTCGCCCTTCAACGAGTCCGCAAGCACGGTTGCCGATGCCACGGTGTCCTGCACAGAACGTCAAATCAAGGCCACTCATAAGCCCCCGATCCTTCATTGCGCTACTTGCAACTCGTTCTGAAACTGCGATTCTCACGGTTGCCCAAATTTGAAATGGAATAAACCCTTTCAGCGTCAAGGAAGACTCGGACAAACCTTCAACGTGGAAGCAAGATCAGAGTGAGACGACAGAAGTTGCTCCTGAGCATGCTGAGTATACTCCGACATGCCATGCTGGAACGACGACTCCACATGGTCGAGCATGGTTCTGCATGTCCGCTCGAAAGCCGGAAGTACTGTGCTTTCAAAGCAACTACGCAATGCCTCCTGCAGCAAACACACAAAGCCCAACCCTACATTGTCATACCACACATCAAAGTCACACATGGTACGAAGACACCAAAATTATGCCAACAAGCTGCTCGGTCTCCCTGTCCACGCGTGTCATACAGCTGGCCAATCACCTGCAAAACTTGTCGACCAATCGTTTGAAACTGGGTCTGTATCTGCCGCGTCACTGTCCCCTCCAGCTTCGCGCCCACCGATTTCTCCAGCTGGGGCAACATTTTCTCTGTAAAACCCTACAGTCCACAAACCCGCCCCACCACCCAAGCCTTCTATTACAACGCGCTGCCTAACTCAAACTCGACGGACTCTCAGGTTTTCCTCACTTCACCATTTCACGCACAAGCATAACGTTGCCCTGCTACTACAAACGTTCAGAACTCACTCTACTCATGCACCACAGGACGCAAGGCAACTCTTACGACCACAAATAGCAACAGCTCAAGATGCACACAAAACATAACAACCAAGTCCCACCATCAGGTTTCTAGCATAGCCACCTGAAACGACTCGGCCACGGTTGTCGAAACCGCTTTGTGAAGGGGAGGGAGAACCGCCTGCGCCACAACTGGACCGATCGCGGCGAATTCCTTCTTGACTCCGCGCTCCAAAGCGACCGGCATGTCTTTGCTCACAAAATTCGTGAGCATCGTCGTCACCTGCTGCACTCTCTCGCGCTCCTGCTTCTCCCTCCGCGCATTCTCCTCCGCCAACCGTGCCCACATGGCATCCACATGTGCTTTCAACACCTTCTCCATCCGCTGCCCTAACGCCCCTGAAAACAAAACCCGAGGCTCGCATGTTCACAACCACCTCTACTTTTCAATGCAACTGCAACTAACATACAAGCTGCAGATAGCAGCAAGTACGAACTCTGACCTCTCCCCGAACTCAAAAACTGAAGGTTGAAAGTCCCCACAACCATGCACACTCGGTTCACCCACGAATACAACTTCGTCTCAATCTCCCATCGAAATGAAGAAAGCGATGTCCCCCGACGAGGACACTCAATCCAAAATGTCCTGCGCCGCCACAAAAACGTGCGTACCTTCCATCCGTTTGCCCTCCTTCGCAACAGGCACAGCCACCATCACAGTCATCTGCTTCTGGATCTCCTTCTGCATGCTCACCAACTGCAGCAAGCCCACACCAACTCGTCAAAATTAACATGTGCGCTCCACACTGCTGAACCCTCCTCCAACGCTACGAAAAGATGCAAGACTATAAACCATCCAGGTGTCCGATAAACTGAGCGAATAACTCCCGCGTTAACGATCAACACAAGACACATACCTGGTTCAGCGACTCTTGCATTGAAGCCACCTGAGCAAGAAAAGCAGGGTCGATGGGAGTGGGAGCAGGTGCTACTGCTGATGTCGGCGTCGACGCTGGAACCGGATTCATGCCATGGCTGGCTTCGCCTACTGGCTTTAATCCAGACGCCATCATGCTTGGCATCTGTGAGGATAATACGGAGCTAGACCCAATCCCACCCGCGCTCGTCTTATTTTTGTTCTTTCTCCCCTTTGCAATTGCTGCCTGAGGAGGGGGTAGAGCCGCCTCGCCGCCACCATCCCTGAAACTCAGGTCCCTCAGCCTGTCGTTCACGTCCTCCGTACCAATCAAGGGTCTCTCCTTATCTTCTGAAACCTCGCCCTCTTCCACCTGCGAGTTCTCTCCTGCATATCGATCCATGCTATCCTGGGGCACTGAGGGCTCCTTGTCCACGTAATCATTCCCCATCATTTGAGTTGTCTCTAGAGACTCCAATAAGGAAGACACCAGAACCTCCTTTCCACTGATGTCATCCTCAACGACCGAGACTTTCGACTCCACTACCTCCTTCTCCATGTCCACGTTGGAGTCCATGCCAATAAACCCGTCGGTACTGCCACTACCCTTGGATAGCGGTGCCTTTCCATCCCTACTACTTTGTTCTTGCCCGGGAACTGAAAGAGGCGCACCGTAGGCTTCACCATGCTTAGACCCGGCTGCCAAGTTCATCAACTCCGAAGGAGTTATCAAATGAAGACCTTGATGCTGACCTCCTTGCTGCGATGAATTGGAAGACTTCACACTGGCGCTGTCTGCAAGAGCGCCCTTCTCCTGTACTCTGTCCAAAACCTCCTCTGCAGAAGTGCTGCTTGAATTGGACTGCGCCCTGTCCAGATTCGACACATCAAGGGGTGGCATCAAAGGTGGTGCCTCTGGTCTCATCTCCTGAATATCCTCTCCCTTCTGCTTAGACCCCATCGAGACGTGGTGCGAATCGGGAGCCCTGGTTGGACTCCTTGATCGCGATCGCCTAGAAGTGGGAGGCTTTGTATTGCCTGCAGGTGTCGACTCGGCTTTGCCGGACATTTGCGTCCGGAGCTCTGCGCTTGATGAGAACCCCGAACTAGCTTTCCCGCTTTCCTTATTCTGCGCCTTTGTGGAACTTTGCAACAACGCATTGAAGTCTACTGCTATACTCTTCTCCACGTGATGTGCGGATGGCACCTCCAACCGACCAACTTCCACTGGACTTCCGAAAGCGGAAGACACAGCTGGGTTCCTTGCAGGAACGCTCACGTTGGGTGTACTGGACGCCCCCGTGCTCACACCGGATGCAGGTCCCATGTCTATCAAGTCGGGGACGCCGGTTTGATCGGATCGCCCAGAATCCTGTGCACCAGGCAAAACTGAGCGTTCGGGAGTTCCTGGAGTTTCCGTCATGCTGCCCTCCACGGGCGGCAAACACTGTGACACGTCCAGACCATACTGTTGAATGGCCTGTGTCTGGACACAGTAGATCTGAACCTTGCCTTCTCCAGCCTCCGTCACGCTGTCTTCGGCAACTGTCAAGCTCAGAATCGGCATTTTCACAGAAAACTCCGCCAGGTAGTTCATTCGTGCAGCCGCTGGGTTGTGCCCAAATTCCACGTGGACCGCATATATGGCGTTCTTCTTCGCATTTGCCAGCAAAATCAGGCTAGCACGGGAGGCTACGACCAACTGGTTAAAAATCGTATCCTCATAATACCCATCAGCAACATCCGAGCTCTGAAACTCCAGCGTCTGTATGCAGCGCCACGCTCCTGTACCTGTACCTACCTTTGACGGTGACTCCTCCGGACCACTCGAGGGTGCCCACAGTTTCAACTCTCTATTCAATGGTCCCTGGTTATGACGCATAAAAACAGGATATCACAAATAAGAACTAGTCCAGAACATCGACCACTCGCCGCACTCATTAGACGCTAAACACGTCCACGCCAAGCTTTCACAACGTTCACCGTATCGTCTGATGCTAAACTCGCAAGTTGCGACGCTTTCAACTGAACGGAAACGGACAAGGCAGGGTGAGGTATACCGCAGTGAGCAAAACATGATGGTCAGGACGCCGTGGTGCTGACAAAAAGGCCACTGCACACACTGCATCTCCACCATGGGGCATGATACTCAGCAATGGGATGCCGCTGGTGTCCCCCCATATGCGCACCTGACCCATGTTATCCGATCAACAAAATCCGTTGTTAGCACAACATTCAACACGCGTGTACAATCCACATTGCACGCCATACCGCCTGAATTCTCCTGCCTCGGAAATCACAACAACAGCCACTGCGGTAGTGCTCGGAACCTCGAAAAGTGGGACAGGATACCCACGTACCGTGCCATCTTGTGAGGCCGATGCCACCCTGGAGGTAGAAAACGATGGCACTGCCAAATCCGTCACAGTCCCATCGTGACCACCCACCACACATACTCCTTCCACTGGATTCTCCACCTGACATTGGAGAGGTTGGTCCACCAAAAACCCCCCTGGAGGTGCAGCCTGCTGCACCTTCCCAACATCTATGCTCAGGACATACGGCCCGATCGCCACCTCCAACACATCCTGCATCGAACATGCGCGCCATCCCACCTTCAGGTTCACATCCACGAAAACGCTACACAAGCACTCCCGAGCGACCCAAGCCATTCTTCCCCAATACAGCGGGCAACGGGAATTCCACCGCACGCGAATGCCGATCGAAATATTTAAAAACAAATCGCCCAGCTTCTACACGCCACATAGAAACAAATAGCCCCCAAACATGCGACACCTCCAGGCAGACTCTCGTCCAAAATAAGACCCAAGATTTACCTCCGTTTGCAGATTCCAGCATACGCGCGGATGGCACGATTCCCAGCCCCCGACGAATTGGATGGCTAGCAATATCTGCTCTGTGATGAGTACCTTGCTGCCCTCGGCGGATTGTCCCTCCAAAATCCGTCGCACATAAATGCGACCGTCCACACTTGCGCTGCAATACACACAACCACCCGGTACAAACGATCAGCCTCGAACTCAATCCGACAATTCCTGTACTCACTGCGTGTCTATTTGCTAGCCCACTTCTCTTTGGGGCCCATCCGTAGACTCCCAAACTCTGGCAGACCAGCATGCTGTAGCTGCATAGGCCGCGGTTGAGTTGGACGGTGATGTTTCTCGCTCGGAGTCATCAATTCCGCTCCTCTAACCTTGCTGACAACACGGTATTTCATCATGTGCAACGTCAAGCCGCGTAAAACCCCTCCCGCATGCTCGTGCACCACATACAACCGGGTCAAGAACGGAGTACAAACCTTGCAAGAAGGTGCTGATCTTCCGACAAAAACGCCATGTCCGTCACTCTCTGTCATCATCGGATGAAACTGTAAGTATCGTAAACACAAAAACAACCTCACAGCCAGCTTGTAACCAACCTCGCTGTCCACAGCAAACTCAGCCCAAATCTCTTCACCCGTCATTTCCTTCCGCGAGCATCGATTACCTGCGTATGGCCTCGAAGTAGCGCTCTCAATGCCGTGTTGATGTTCAGGATGCGAATCGTCCCTTGCCGCAATCCATAACATATGTACTTTTTGTTCACCGCAATTTGCCGTCCGACCACCAGCTGTGGATCGGATCCATAAACTGTAATAGGACTCACTTCCAACTGGGGCTGCGCCTCTCCGGGTTTACGAACATCCACGTCGTACACGACGTGATCTCCCCACAAATGCCGACCGCGTGGTTGCTTGCCGCTCGACGCTCTACCAGACGCGGTGGGAGTCATTTGAGCAGCTGGGGCGGGAGGTGCTGTGGGCAATGCCGGAGCCAGCGCAGGTGGAGGGATAGAAACATCCTGGCTACCATCCTGAGTCGATCGAGGTCGTTCACCGCCGCTTTGCTGGACCCCTGACACCAGGGAACCGTCGTCGCTGCTAGGAGCCTCAGCTCCGCCATGTGTTGTCAAAAGAGCCATAAGGCGGGCGCCATCCAAAGGAGAGGATGGTGCCTGGTTTGGGCCGCCACTGCCTTGAGACAAAGAAGACAAAGGAAGAGATGAAAGAGGAGGGTTCCCATGGAGGGAGTTCAGAGCACCCGGAGGGGGAAACTGAACCTGTTGCTGCTGCTGATGCTGGTTGTAGGGCGCGGTGGTATAGCTTGACGGCCGCTGTCCATGCTCCTGCTGATAGTGCATGTAAGGATGGAATACTTGAGTCTGCTCCTGCTGCTGTTGTGACGAACTGTACTGAAAATTCTGAGGAGGCATGCTGGGAAAAGAGCCCGAGTTGGTGGGAAAAGGTCCTGAATTCTGAGGGAATTGAGCAGCGGGATAAGGAGGGTGAGATGAGTACTGGGGAGGAGGATATGGGCTCGGAGGTGGATTGTTGAAGAAATTATGGATGTCGAAACCTCCCGACGGTCCTGTGGCGCCCATTATGTTCTTGTTCCACTATAAAACTTCTGGACCTTTCACACTTTCGTTTCTGGCATCCACAACCAACAAAAGCCTGTGGCATCAAACTACGGAACGATAAACCCGAAGGGCGCAAATCATAACGAAAGCCAACATCATAAGTTCGTGCCCAAAGAGAGTATAGTCTAGATTGGATGAGCATCCCACAATCAAATCCGACAAACTCCTCTGCATACGAACTGTAGATTGCAGAAATTGGGTTAAATTTGGCTACGTGAAGTTATAACTAGTTATTGAGAAGGGTTCGTATGGTTTTCAGAGTGCTGAGTGTGCGTGGTGTCGAAATCAGAAAAAAAAAAAAAAATATGCACTTGAGCAGGAGTTGCTGGGTAGAACGTGGAGAGGAAGATGCTAATGGACAGGTTTTGTAAGAAATGGAAGGTACGCAACTATCATATGAATGATTTTTGTAACGGAACTTGCTACAGCCATCCCTACCACATTAGGTTGCACCTATTAGGTGTCTATCAATTTGCGTTTAGACCCATTAAGGTATTTATTTTTTCGCGAACGTGTAAATATCACCAGATACAGTTACTCTTTTGAAAGAGAACGCAAAGGTCGACAATGGATACTCGCAGCGTACCTTAACGTGTTTAGTTCTGAGGACACACAATGTCTTAGCAACAACTGAGCATCTGGCAACGACATTAAGATGGGAAGGGTAGATTGCACTCACTCTCTACACACTGGGATATTACTGCGTTTGACTGCACAGTTCCAAGAAAAATAAATAATTAAAAGAGGATGGACTACGAGGACCAGGGTACTACAAAGATCTTAAATACAGAGAGTCAAAAATGGAAAAGAGTTCAAAATAAGGCCTGTCTTCCGGAATAAGAGCAAGCTATTCCAGCGACCCTAATTTCTTCTTTAAATCCCCACAAGGCTTTAGCTTCTCTTCCCAGTCCCAACAACTCCCGAAATACCACCCTCCACATCAAGAATCGCTTATTCCATCCTATCACCGACAAACCCCACTCACCCCCTTTCCAAAATTCAGCTTCCGCACATCCCCAGCGCACCTCACCCACAAACCCCGAACGCAACACCCAAAATCCCCACTCCACCCTCAATAACGTACCTTGCGAGCTCAACGGATTACACCATCTACACTCCAGTATCACTTGCCCGAAAGTCCTTAAGCAAAAGCCGGTCTGCAACCTGATGATCTTGTACCTATACATTACCTACAAACTCCAACCCACACCTTGTTCAAAAACCCTCCTAATCAGCCCACCCACTTCTTGTTTCTCGAGTTCGAATTGAAACCCGAGTCACAGCCCCTCAGTCCCATACCAAAATCCTTGGTCCCCTTCACACAATGTCCTGAACAAAGCCTAAGCAGCGACCATCACCATAAACACGAACGAATGCAGAAGAATCTGGCAGGAAAGCAAGCAAATGTGGGAGGGATGATGGATATCAAACAAAGGTCACTTTCTAGGGCATGGCACGGCGTCGTCTTCAAGGCTGTTTGCTTGCTTGCTTGCTTGCTTGCTTGCTTGCTTGCTTGCTTGCAAAATCTCCTTCTCCTCCTCCGCTTTCTCCCTTAACAACGCTTTAGCAATGTCTTCCTTCCTTCCTTCTCTCAGTAATTGTGTGCTTCCTTCCTTGCTTCGGGGGGAGGGAAGGGTAAGGCCCTCAGAGGCTGAAGCTTCGGAGCAGGTCGTCGCGGAAAATCTCGGGCAGGGGCTGGGAACCGGCGGCCGGCGGGGTCACACCCGGCCTGTGATGTCAGAGGTCCACGGGCATGGATGCCCGCCCCTCTTGGGCTCATACCCGCCATTGTGTCAACGTGTGTTTAGTTTTTATAGCTGTGTCTTGGGTAGGTTAATACATTTTGGGATCATTGGGTTGAGTTTTTTTGTTTGTAATAAATTGGAGAATTCATCTTCTCAACAAAGAGAAAGCACCTTTGAAATTTTTCTTTTTTTTTTCTTTTTTTTAGGAATATTTGGTATTTAATATAAGTTGTAAAGCATCTTGTGATATATATATGTGTGTTTTACATATTGGCCACTTTTTTATCCATGATTTTTAAAAGTTGTAGAATGTCAAAAAAGGACATAAATGATAGCCCAACTCGTTGAAAGGGATTAAAAGGGGATTGGATCATGTGTTTCCTTTTTAGTGTTTTTAGTCTTCTAGTTTGTTCTCTTTTCATGCCTACTATTTAAATATTTTTTCAAGCTTGAGGTTTTGTAAAAGTCAATTGCTTAAGTGACGTGATTTTTTTTTTTTTTTTTTGGTTTAATTTTTTATTTTTGCTACTCATCTGGTAAATTAGAAGATGTGGTTTTTTTTCCAAAAAGATATTATTTATATCAATGTTCTGATGTAAATCTAAAATTACTGTTGTGTAGCTGAACTTCGAATTTAAATAGCAATACTTAAACTATAATTATACTTATTCCAAATGCTTTAAAAGTATCACAAGCTTGTTTTAAGTTAAAACATGTTGTCAATTACAAAATTTATCATATGTGTTGACATTCTATTTTTATTTTTAAAATTACTTCCCAAAATACAATAGAGGCCGTATTGACTTATTTAGTAAAAAACTTACAATAAGCATTAATAGTGTATTTTTAAATTTTAATTACAAATCAATGTGTAATGTCTCTCATGTGCAACCGGTACAAATAATTCTATAAATAAAAAACAAAAATATTTATACATTTAAAAATTAATATACACAATTTAATTAATATATAGTATAAGAATAAGTTAAATTTAAATTGTATAGGCTTAAGTGAACAATTATAACTCTGTATTATTTCAAATAATTTAAATAAAAATATATAATGAGTAAAACAATGTATCATGTATGTGTAATTTTAATAAGTTTTTCTATAGTGTATCTTAAATTTAAAAACCAAATAAACATTTTATATTGTGAAAACATGTAATCACCATATTTTGATGAGATTTTAAGTTGAAAGATTAAAACACATGTAATTTGCTAATGAGCAGTAAAAAATAAAATAAATTGAAGTTGTTACCAAACCTCCATATTTTAATTCTATTATTAAGTAAATAGAATCTATATTGTGAATATTCTAGTAACTGACCTATTGGGTATATATATATATATATATATATATTCATATATAGTAAACAATAATACAAAACAATTTAATCAAGAAGATTTAATTCATATGCATGCTTTAATCATACCAAACTAAAAAATCTCATTTGCAAAAATTAAGAATTCAAAAGAATTGGTATGTCTCCTCAAAAATTCCCTAATTGACTCAATTCTAATCAATAAAAAGTGATTTTTAAACTTGAATCAATTCCTTGATTGATTAAATTTCAACCAATACTTTATTGGTTCAATTGAAAGAAAAAAAAATATTAATATAAATATAAATTGCAAAGAATATTTTGAAATGTTTGGAAAATTTCTTGAACAAGAAAATTTCAACATAGTCATTGAATAACATATAATTTTTTCACAATCTTTGCAATAACATTGTATTATTATTTTCTATCTACGACAAGGTTTGTTTCTTTTATAATAAAAATCTTTTAAAAATAAACAATCATTTTTTAACAATACTTTTGTATGTTTTAACAATTTTAACTTACTAAAATTGACATATTTTTAAATATATATTTACTAAAAAGTATATCCTTGTGATATTATTAGTGGCCAAAATTTTAAAATACGATTTACATCCCAAGTGGTGGTATTGTATTAATCTATCATGCAAAAAAATTCATCTAGATTTTTAAAAAAGTTATTAAATATGTGCATTATTAAATAATACATGTTACATTATCTTAGTTCAATAGTAGTTTTATCTTCATAATACAAAATAAAACAATGCATACTCAAAAATAGGTCTTCAATCATGTTTTTAGTTTTTTTAAAAGTAAACATTAATTATAAAATTTTGATAAACTTCATATTTGTATAAACTTGTGGTTTTAAGATTTATATTTACTTAATTTAACATAAATTATATGTCTTTCATATCAAAAGAAAATATGTACCTATGTTGTCATAAAATTTGTCCGTGTGACATGAAATATCATGTACATGTCTTAAAGAGATTACACAAAATGCCTCTCAAAAAATAATTCTTGTGGATCCCTTTTTTTTTTTTTGTAATTAATAATTATTTGTCTCTGTTGTAATTAAATACACATATTTATCTTGATATATGTTTTCATGATAAGTTGATCAATGTTACATACTGAAATGTTTTATGTGTTGACCAATAGTTAGTATTGTTTCGAAATTTTGATTCCCATGTGTAATTTTAATTTATTTTAATTTATTACAAATTGAGTGATGAAGAGAAATTAATATTTTGGCCAATAAAATGACTCATTTAAACATATATTTTATTCTTTTCAATTTTATGTTTATAATAGTATTTTATTGATTTATATTATATACTTTGATACTTTAAATCAACATTGGAGACCTTTGTTTTACTTTGGGAGTAATATGTTCAAACAACTCATTGATGTATACTAATACATAACACAATGATAAACCACAAAACAATGTAACCAAAAATTACACAAATATGTATACCATGCAAAACAATAATCAAAGCAGAAAAAGAAAAAACACACACGCCCATACAAAATAATAATAATAATAACAAAAAAATGATTTTAAAGAAGTCTAGACTTATACATGTAATTGTGAAAGTGTGTTGGAAAAAGACTTAAACTGCAACTATGTTAATCTTATGGTTATAAGTTTTTAAATACTTTGAAATATATATATGTTTAGAAATTAATATATTTTATTATTTCTTTGAAATATCACTTTGTTTTAAAATATAAAAATTGAATATTAAGAGTTGCCACAATTTTTTTTCTTTGTTTTACTATTGCAATTATAATGACTTGTTGTAACATTACAAATCATTGTTTAGATTTTATAAATGCAATATCTATGTATATATTCATTCACCCACACACAAATACACTTTTTTGAAACAAATATGTTGTCATAAAGGTTTTTTCAAATATAAATTTCATTAACACACAATAGAATTTATTTTTGAAACAATCTTAAGAAACAGTAATATCAACACATTGCATTTTATGACAATTAGGCATTTCAATTGATTTATATTATAAATGTTTTTTTTTTTTCAAATAAAATCATGTAAGCGTGTGTGTGTTTTATTTTATTATTATTATTATTATTACAGATTCCAAAATACAGGCCTTAAAATAATGGATCCCAATCTATATATATAGATATATATATATCAAATACAACAGTGTATTTTCATTTTGTTATTTTATGATTATGTAAATAAAATTATTATGCCTTAGAGCAACTTTAAATATTATCTCACTAATTCAAATTTTCAAACCAATTTTTTAAATAACAAAAATAAAAAAATTAATTTAATGATGATACATCAATAAAAATCATTAATAATTACAATTGAATCTCTCTCACACACACACACACACACACATATATATATATATATATATAAAAATTCACCTTGTTACTGTTATTAATATTTTGTAAAGAGGGATTTTGATTAAATATAAAACGATCAGTTTAATTATTTCGAAATTACAATTAAGTACTATTAAAAACATCAAAGCCAAATGTGAAAATTGATAATTTGTGAACTTATCAGTTGACTAAATATTTTCTCAATGATTTATTTTCTTAATGATTTTAACTCAATCTATCCATTTGCATGAGAGGACTTTGTAGAACTCGACACAAATATGTATTGTTAATTTAGCAATGAAGAATATACTTCTATTAAAAGATTTCAGAATCTTTGTACATGGATTTGTTTTGAAAGTTTTGCAATTTTGACTTTGTTTATTTTTATATGTGTAAATAGAAAGTTATTATTCCAACATATAAGATACACTTGATATAATCTAAAGGTTTTTGTCTTTTAAATTGACATAAGCAACCAAATTATAAACATTAATTTGTTATCAATACACAATATTTTAATTAACAAAGTTTTATAATACTTTTTATGATGTTTTTTAAAACTACATATATATATTTTAAAATGTATATGATTTGATATATTCATTCATTTGTTTTGTTTTGTGAGAAACATTTACATCCTATAAGTCTACAACCTTATGTTTAATCTACAATTAGACAATGTTTTTTACATTTCTTTAACATCATAAATAAAAGTAAAATAAGATAAATATTACTTTGTATCACAAAAATATACATAATTTTTGAATGTTTCATTTGAAGTCTCGTATTTAAGATGATACTTTATTTTTATTTTTACTACTACCATTTTATATAAAAAATTGACAACAATCCATGAAGATAAAAAAATACCATGTAAATTATGACCATCATATCAAATTTACATCTATGATATGCTAAAGGGAAGCACAATTGGAGACAAACAGCTTTCAAAATATTCATATAGTTTCCATACACCAAATATCAATCACCCAAAATTATTCGGTTTAAGCATTTGAATTATGATACAGTGAATTTGATCTTTGTGATGATCTTGAAGCAAGGGGCCCAAAATGTAGGGTGTACAACATGTGGATTGTCATAACAAACATTTTTAGAATTAGGGTTAGGGTCAGGGTTAGGGTTACAGTCGTTCTATGAACAACTATCGAGCAAAGTGGAATTCACAGTGAATTTGAGAGTAGAGTTACGATTCTCTGGCTTCCGGATGTAGTCGTGGGAGCATCAGGATTCCGTAACGCGGCATTGTTGAAACAGATTTAGTTCACATGCTTCATAGGAACTGTGCAACAACAGCTAACTGCCAACTGAATCCCAGTTGAAATTGGAGCGGTCAGGTGACGAGCTATTTTTCGATGTGTTTTTTCTAGTGATAAACGTAGAATTCTGGAAGAGTTGTAGGGTGGTTTTGCTTTTACATTAGAGTTGAATTGCACGAAACGAAATGCAGAATTTTTTTGTTGTTTTTTTGGGTTTTGTTGATATGAGGATGGTTTCGTCTAAGTAGGGTTTAAGGGTTAGGTGCTGGAAGGATGAAGGGCTGGTCTGGATTCTTTTGGGTGGTGCAGGTATGGCGTTTCGGTACTTGAAAATCCTGATGCGAACTGCCGGTTGCGGGGTTCATGTCGGGAAGACGAGGTGGGTGGACAGGAGAGGGCGGATCGTGAGTGACTGGGGATGGAAGATCACCACGAGATTGGAGGGGAAGGCGCAGGGAGGATTGCATCCTGTTAGTGGAATGGATCATTGCAGGGTCACGGTGAGAGGAGCGGTAAATGATGCCTTGGATATTGTGAGATACTTGGAAGGAGTCGAGGATGAGAGTGACGAGTCCTCTGGCGAAGAAGTAGAAAATGACGAAGCTCATGAGACGTTTAGTAATTTGGATGTAGGTTCGACTGGGGAATGGAGTGTGATTTCGAGGTTAAAACCGCATGCGGATGGATTGTATCGGAAGGTTATCGAGTCAATTGCTAGCCCTGAGGCTTTAGCATCCGCTTTCGAAAGCATAAAACAGAAATATGGAAAAATCATCTTTCGGTCTCATGAGAGCATTGATTGGAGATGGTGCGAGAAAACCGCCGATGAGTTGCGGGCAGGGACGTATGCGTTTAGACCGGTGAGACTTGTCAATATCCCTGTACTTGGCCAGAATGAGAAGATGAGGTCAATTAGGATTGTCAGTCCCAAGGACCAGATTATACTGGAGGCTTTTAGGGCTGCTTTAGAGAAGATATATTCTACATCGTTTTCCCCTCATGTGCACTTTTGCAAACATACAGCACTCGAGTCAGTGAAGTATGGTTGGAGGGGGACGTCATGGTTTATGGATTTTCATGTCGAGAAGAGCTATGAGGATACAAATCAAAAAAGGCTGAAGAACATCCTCTCGGAGAAGATAGAGGACAAGCGATTTCTCGATACGTTGTTTCAAATGTTCAATGCAGGAATAATAGGGTTGGGACAAAATAAAATTGAGGAAGGGGGAATCCTTTCTTCCATCTTGAGCAACATATATTTTCAGAAACTTGACGAAGAGGTTGAGGTGATCAAGAAAGAGTGGAACACAGAGGCCAGAAAACGTAGCATAAATCCCGCATACAGCAGGCTAATGAATTTTGACAAGAGGACACTGGCTAGGTTAGGGGGTAATGCTGAACAGATGAGGCGTGAGAAGCAGCATCGCTTGGCCATGGCAAGGAAACTGGCAATCAGTCGCAACAACTACAAAGATCCCAATTTCACTAGAGTGCAATATGTAAGATTCGGGGATGATTTTCTTCTCGGTCTTTCTGGAAGCAAGGCCACGGCGTCCAAAATCATGAAGAGACTAATGACGTTCCTTCAATCCAATCTGCAGCTTCAGGTGGATTCAGAAAACACTCGCCTTGCTCATGCAGTTTCTGATAGAACACTCTTTTTGGGTGCATTTATCCGTGTTCTTGATCCTAAGGAGGTACCCGAGGTCAGCTCTTCCTTAACCAGAGCGCTAGCAAGAAAGCGAGCGCAAACTATGAGAGTCAAGCAGCAACTGGAGGATCGTTGGACTAGGGAGTGCCGGAATGTAGTTCTCAAATGCTGGACCATTGCATTTGAAAAGTGGCGTCGTGAGCTAGGTAAGGATGGGGCCAAGAAACGCACTTTTGAAGTAGCTACGCAACAGTTGCTGTCTATGCCTGAGGAAGATAGCCTGCTGTGGCGAGAGAGTGCTCAAGATGTACTACAAGTTTTTATTTCAGCAGCTCTGCGACAAGGCCTTTTCCCACAGGAGGAGGTAGACAGTTACCATAAAGTGCTTGCTAGTCTTGAGAAAAGCTTGGCAAAGACGTCACAGCCTGACTTTGAAGATTTGGACGTGTAGCCTTTCCATTCTGCCCGAGTATTGGTCCACTATTCACTCTGGATGATCAGTTCGTTTTGCCACCGTTGGAATCAGCAAGGTCTGTACTTGGTGAGTGCTTTTTACACGTCCGTGTTTTGTCATCAGGTTAGAGGTTCAGTATTCGATATGGGTATCTTGATGAATATTTTCGATATACCTTCATGCTTTGGCACGGCACCTGTGGTCATTTCCTGATATAAATTTACTTCAAACAAGTAATCTTAAGTTTTGAGTACAGTTTGTTTGTCAACATCAATGTAATGAATGAAGAAAATTCACATAACAAGCATGAAGTCCATGTAAACAATTCATGTAGGCACTAACTGATCCTAGTTGTGTGATTTTCCTTCCATTAGCGGCAGTCGCCAAATAAACCATCATACTCTGTTGATTATCAATGTATTTTGGTATCTGAAGGTCACATTACAGTCTCTTTTTCAAAATATAATTACTCGAATCTGGAAGTTAACTAAATATTGACACAACCCCCATGTCGAAAGGGTCCACAACTGGACACGAAGAATTGGAATAATGGTTATAATCAGGGATGAAATCGTATCGAGAGGTCACTTAGAATTTGAAAATATTTTTTTCGTCCTAAAGTAGCTTCAATAATATTTGAAATCATTTTTTTCTTCCTTCTATATTCACCAACTTCTTTACATTTTTTGTCATTCTCACGTCTCTCATTTCATATTTTGATTGCAGATGTTGGCACAATCCTGACGTTTACCTACTATCACATATGGGGTACGCAAAGTGTCGAAGTTGGTGTTAGATGACGTGCGCAGAAACTAAACCCAACGGGTGTTCCACTGTGGGATGTATTGACTTCACCATCTTTGGCATATGATTCAGGTAGTTACAGTACCTAGATGAGCATATCCGATGGACCAGCCCCTGATTTACAAGCGGAAGAATCTGTGGTGTTTCTTTTCCGGAGCTGTGATGGTCTCTTCAATGAAGGTGTAGCTTATGGTGCCATAGCCTGGGCTGGGCTTTCGAAGGCCAAGATCAGCTCCGGAATACTCTTTCATCCTGTGGAATTTCCGCGCTCCACCGATCCACCGGAGCAGTCGATATGGGCAATTGGAATCCACTTTCGAGGAATGCACTCCAATGATCAGTTCCGTTAATTGATCGGTGCCTTCGATTGAACCCGATGAATAATTAGTTCTCGTTGCAGATGCTGCTCTGGAGTCATAAGCTCCTTCGGTGATTGCTTCCGAGTATCCCGTGGTGGCACCAGCTCCAAGGCCATGTCCTCTTGAATTAAGTAGGACACTTACGAGCAATTTTTTTTCCTCTTAATGTCACTTTTGCCGCTCCTTTCTCCTCCGATTCTAACAAATAGTTAGTGCAGATTCTCCCTGCAACCTATTCAACGTCAGTTTCATCAAGGATCGTTGTCGAAACCTTCCATCTGGCTTGCATCAGTTCAAGGTCTCAATATCTAAAAGCTAGTCGATACCGTAGAATTCAACCTCGAATTGTGAAGATCTCTCCTTAATCTGGTCATGGTTTTCGACTGAGTAGGTGCAGTCTGTCTTTGGCGATGCTTCCTCAACGCTGTTAGCTCATTTCACAACTCCGTACTTGTTCTCTTCAATGTACATTCGGGTATATGGAGTACAAACTGGCGGATTCTTCTCAGCGTCTGTTGGCTTGTAATCTTGTGAAAACCATTGTACCTGCGATTGGTAAGGGTTTCAAATCCATGCATTGATGTCCAGGTAGCATGATGTGTGATCTGACTGGGTCACCCGGACATGGTAGCTGGCACCAGTAACGGGAGGCTTCTGAATGTGGCAACAGCTCCTGATTGCGCCACGTTCTGTTTTCTTCAAAGGAGGCTGAAGTGTGAATCGATAGCATTCAAGGCATTGTACTGATTCTAGCCTGGAATGGGGTAAGCACAGCTAGTTTTCCTGCTACCCACTAACCAGGTGATGAGTACCCTGAGACTCAATGGTCAACCTCAGGCTTGAAAGTCCTACTGTCACCCAACTCGCCTCATCCAATCAATGTATTACACATGCTTTGCCAGCTAACAACTTGCTCACGAAGTGTATAGAATGCCTTTTGTAAGTTGACAGACAAGTAACTGCATGGTATGGGATCTATTGTAGGCAACGGTCCGTGGTACTCAAACCGGCATTAATAGGTGGGACATCAGCCCTAACTATTCTTGGCTTGGTCATTTTACTTCGCTTTTGGACCGGTCCTCATCACTGGCCTTTCTTTTGTACAGTTTAGTATGTGCAGATATAGGTGTTACGTTTGATTCAAAGTGGGCACTGCAATGCACAAACTGACAAGGCGCCACAACCCAAACCCTTTTACTTGTCCTTTACTACATGACCCAAAGAAATATTTTGCAACAGGGTGGAAATTCGCCTTCTGTAGTACCTTCAAATGTTCAGCAAATCTAGCAAACTTCTTTCTAGTTGTGTAATATCTAACCACTTGACTGTGTGAATGTGAAGTTCGGTAATTCACTATTTATTGCATTATTCCTTTTCCAACAGAACTAGCAAAACAAACAATCTGCAACTATTTCCGTGAGACTTTATCACTATACAAAACCCCCAAGTCCCTGTAAAATCATGACTCAAAAATATGTGTTTTCAAGTAAACTGTAAGCATCAACAATAAAAATGATAGGTTGAAGACATATCATGATGTAGATAATGTAATTGCGAAGAATCTTAAAACTTTACCTAAATGTTTGAAATGTTAATTTTTTACATAAAATAGTAAGCTGTGCAAGAAAATTAAAATGATAGTAATATTCGAATATTTTGTTATTTTTTTGAACTTCACAATAATATCTTATACTAGCAGTGTTTGAACATCTTCAAATATTTTTATTAAAGTTTTTTGATTATGATGTTACAAATTATTTGTAAATAAATAAAGAACTTTAAAAATGTATTGATTTTTTTTATCTTATGTTGTTCTCTGGTAGCCAAAATATTAAAAGAAACAAAACGTAACTAAAAGGATTATAATGTATCAATTCGATATATGATATATATACTTTCAAAAATATGTATATATATATATATATATATATATATATAATAAAAATCAATATTACTGTCCGCTATTATTGTTAACATTTTATTTTTGGAATCATGCCAAGTATTGTTATTACTTTAATATATATATTTTTATACATAATTCTTAAATTATTTTAGTTGTATATATATAACATTATATAAATTTTAAAATGTACTTGCAACTTTTACTTGAAATGAAGTCATCTAACTTATATTTTTTTTTTGTGATAAATCAATAACACTAATTAAAAATAATAATAATAATAATAATAATATAAAGAAAAAAGTGTTTCTCTTGAAATACTATTTTCTGTACTGTAAAATTTCAAAATTTTAACATAAAATCATCTATAGCTTGTATTTGATAATTTCAAATTTTTCTTAGAGATTCAGTTTTTGTCATAAGATAGTGACAATGATAAAAACAAACATAGAATAATCTTTAAATATAAATATATATATATACATACATATATACATGTTAAGTGACAGATTAGTTGTTAAATTTTAATACTTTTAAATTTTCTTATAATTATTGTTTTATCATTATCATTCTATTCCAATATTAAAATTTGATAAACATAAAATTATTTTACAGTGGTATTTATAGTTAACACATTAAACATATTCAATAAATTCTATTTTATAAATTTAACTACAGGTTTAATTATAAATGTGATCAGGGTAATTAAAATTACAATCACAAAAAGAAATATTATTATAATAACTATTTATTTTTATTAGTAAGAAACCAGTATATATATATATATATATATATATATATATATATCATAACCTATTTATATTCCATGACTATTTTTATGACTCCTATTCAAGTTTGTGTAACCAAATCTAATTTAGGTTATATATTTAACACTCTTATTGTTTCAAATATGATTCAAATATATTTTTTCAAGCAATGTAACACACACACACACACATATATATATATATATATATATATAGCAACAAAAAATCCAAAATAGATAATAATATGATGTGAGTATACATGTACACACACATGAAATTAGTTCATCTATCAATTATTAATCATATCTATATGCTTTTGAAAAACTTCTGCAAATTGTAAGCAATTTTAGAGAAGTTACAACAAACAATCATTTTTTTGTACATAAAACATGTCTGAAACATTACGTGTATATGCATCTTTGATACAATTCTTGCATATCTACAATTGGTAATATGAAATGCACAAGGTTTGTTTATTTTATTTTATTTAATATACAACAAGTACTTGGATTTTGAACTTGTTCACTTATTAGGCAAAAATTAAGTAAAAATCATAAAAAAAACAAAGATATAAAAAAATGACAAGGAAAAATTATAAATAAAATTAATATGTTTTAAAGAAAGTATGTTAGATAAATTGATATATGGTGAAAGTGGAATCTAAAAGCAAGTAGGTAAATATGAATGATATTATTCTTTTTGGTTTAATGTATCTAAGCAAAGAAAAGGATATCATTTTTTTTATTAATCCATAATAGACCAATAACTAGTTACATTCAAAAGTAATAGAAGAATTATAAAGGTGTATTGTAGATTAGATTTTTTTTCTTTTTTCTTTTTTCTTTTCTTTTTCTGTAATTGTTCTAATAATTGTGAAATTAACTTTTTAAATGACTTAATTGTAATTTAGATTAATCTACAATCCAATTCAAAATAATCTGGCTACTTTTACACATAAATTATCTTTTGTGTATCAATTCTCTTTTTATTTTTTTATAAATAAAAAACTACAAATATTTATTAAAAAATTGAAACAATACAAAGCATAAGTATTTTTTTCTTTTTTCTTTCTTTGTTTACAAAAGGTTTAAAAATTGAAGATTATATAATTAGATAGATGAACACATGTATATTTTATACAACTTAATTAGAGATTTTATATGGTGGTATTATAAATATTTTTCTTTACATAGATTTAAAAAAGATAAAAACTATTATATGTTCAACAAATTTAAGAATTATACAAGACAATCAATATGTTTTAGAACTTTCTAAATTTTATTAAATTTATGATTATGTTTTGACTTATTGATTCATTTATATGTTTCACTTCTAAAACAATTAGAATATAGTAACATTACAAAATTAATAATTTAAGATTCAATTATTATCATCATTCAATTTTTTACTTATTTAAAGTTAGTAATTTGGTCTTTATCTTGTGATATAATATTAAGAGTGATTGATTTTGTGAATAATAAGAATACTAAAGACTTGGACCATTTCTAATCCAACTTTATAATTTTTTGCAATCTAATTTTTGATATTTCTTTCTTTATATAAGTAAACAAATAAATAAATAAATATTTTTGTTAGAATAGATAATAGAAAATAATTTAAAATTTAAAATATTTAAATAACATAAGAATATTTTTACAAACTAAAATATCTTATATATTAGTGGAGATATAATATTAGTAAATGCATGTAGAACCCAGGTAAGAATCTTTGAAATGCACCAAATATAGTTCTTGTCATTTTTTTGGAAAAAATAAAATAAAAATAAAAATTGATCATTGTTTATAATAAAAATTTGATATAAAAAAATAATAATAGTTATAATTTTTTTCTATTTTTGTATTATTTTATGTATATTAATTAATTTATTTATTTTTATAAATTTTATTTGTATAATTATTAAATCAATTATTTAGGTTGTCAAAGTCTTCAACATCAAGACATAAAAATGAAAATATTAATCTTTAAGATTTTTGAATCTTTTTTTTTTTTTTTTTTTATCAAATAATAAAATATAAAATATTTGATACCATGACCTTAGAAATAATTCCTAATGATTAGTGATATAATTAGACATAGAAGTTACATCCAAAACTATTTTAGAATGTTATTTGAATATAAATTTATGTAACTTTTATACTTAGGAATCAAATAAATAAATAAATGCCATTAAGACCCTCTTAATCATTTATTTGTTTATAAAAAAATTGGAGTTTCTTTACATATAGTATTTGACATATTTTAAGCCTCATCAATTTATCAAATAACTTGGAATTTGGAAAGTAGCTGGATAAGAGTTCTACACCTTATACATTTATCTTGCAAACCTAATACTTGTAAAGAAAATATCACATGGTTTTTCATTGACGTATGTATAGTGAAAAAAGTCAAACTGTCTCTAGTCTTGTGAATATTTGTTTTGTATTCAAATTTAAAATATGGAACTTTCTATTAATTTTATGATTATTAATAGATCTACTATAAATATATATATTTTTTTAGTTTTAATTTTTGAATAAACAGATTCATATTATTTTAATAAATTTTGTAAATACTTGTTTTAGAACATGTTTTATAAGATGCTATTATATTTCGTAACTCTATAAATAAATATTGTCACTTTTTGTTATATATATTTATAAAATTATAATTTATAAAAATATTCTCTAATTTTATCATTTTTATAATTAGATCATTCTATTCTGTTGTTTTTTGACAATCATAACTTTAATTTTATCACTTCTTTTGAATTCACTTAATATTAATGTATCCAAAGCAAGATCCTTTGTTAATGAAAAACAAAAATTTATAAAATAAAATTCATACTTATTATAAAACTTACATATCATTGACACTATCATGTTCCTACTTCTTATAATTATTGAACTTTTTGTGATAAGTATAACATCTTTCTCCTACATCATTTCAATCTTACCTTTACTTGAAAAATAAGCTCATTTCTTTCTTGTTTGTCACAATGTACTTTGAATATTATCTCCCAAATCATCTCTTAGCTTTGACACTTTAAATGCCTCCTATCCTTATTATTCTCAAGCCATTATTTTCAAATCATCTCCTAACTTCATCGTGCTAATGCCCCTATTTTGTGACCTTAAGAATTATGTATGTTTTTGTTGAAGTAAGTTACTTAGTAAAAGGTATTATCTTAGGTAAGTTGCTAGTGATCAAAATGCAGCAAAAAATTATAAGGAAGTTATTATGGT